GTGTGTGTGTGTGTGTGTGTGTGTGTGTGTGTGTGTGTGTGTGTTTAAGATTGTTTGGCAGAAAGTTGATCGCTTAGGGCTTAGTTTGCTTGCAGACTTGAAGAGTAGCTAAGGACCACAGTTTAAGGAGTTCTATTAGTCTCTATCAGGCCAGTATGAATGGTGATTTTCATGATTTTGAATTTTGTTCTACATTTTTCTCTTGCCATTTGTCCATGAACTTCTATTGTGATCCTGATGAGAGCTGTTGGTAATGGTAGCCAGGCACACCTAGTTCTTCTAGTTTTGGGGTAGTGGAGCCTGGGGTTCAAGTGGTCCATTTGTCCCATGAACTATTTCCTTGAGGTTTTCATTTTTTTCACTTCTTTTTGCACCAGATGGGTAGAAGGCAATGGTTTTATCTTAGATAGCTTTTTGCAAGCTTTTAAGACCTCAATCACTACTGTCTCTGTGGACTATATTATGCCCATTAACCTAAATATCCCCTGAAACTGTGGTCCTAAGTCCCCAAGCCTGGTGACTCATTCCCTCCATGAGTTTGGTTATGGCTAAGATGTTTCAGAACAATGCCCTCTGTATGCTCTACAATATCCTTAGACATATGTGTAGCACATACAATGAGATATGTAGATGTCCTAGATGTTTACTTATGGGTGTATTCTCATTTGTCTTCCCACATCTGTTCAGCTAGCATGCCTACATATGTATCTACTCATAGTTCATGTTTGTTCTATTGATATTGCAGGACTAGGTATGTAATCATATTTACCTTTGTTGTTCTTTATTCTTTATTCTCAGTGTATTCCTTTTCCTTGCTTATGTTGTATGGCCCTCCCTCTTATTGTATATTGCCTCTCCCATCACCTAAATTAATACTTGTCTACTTGACAAGATGAACTGACACAGTGGCTGCAACAACATAAGAATAATTGTGAGGATGGAGCAGGACCGGGTGGTATTTCACTCTGTGGTTCATCTAATCCCTATCAGTTGGAACCAACTTGATGACACCTAACTACCACGACAACGCTCTAGTCAGTGATTAACTCCTCTCATCCCTTTCAATGTCTAGCAACCATGAAACAATGTTTGTTTATTGGCCTTTTTAACTAGCATATAATATATGCCTTTTTGGGTAGCAAATACTTTTACGGGACACAACTCAGTCTATCACACCAACCCTCCACAATGTTGTAAGATCTAATGAGTTACTGCTTACAAAAGAGCCTAGAAAATAATGACAACCACTACTGTATTAATATGATGATGGCATACATTGGACAGCACGCATTATTATTATTATGAATCTAACTATTTCAGAATTGGATGATCACTGCTTGCCAGCACTATTAGTCTGCTGTTTAGTCAATTGCTATTGACTATCTTTTATGTGGAGAACACAGTACTAAAGCTATATGGCAAAAAAAGAAAGAAAGAAAAAAAAAAAAAGAAAAACCAAGCTTAATGTTGACTCACAGTGACTCTATAGGACACTTAGGATCGGAACTTCCCCTGTGAGTTTCCATGACTATAACTCTTTACTGGGGTTGAAAGCTCCATCATTCTCTCTCAGTGTAGCTGTTGGTGGTTAGCAGCCAAACATGTAACTGCAACTCCACCAATTTATAATATCTGCCCTTAATTTGCCATAAACTATTTTGGACAAGAGAATGGATATTGAAAAAGTATAATCAAAACATGGTTGAATAAATTATTGTAGCTAAGTCTACATAAATGCTTGAGGGGCTGGATGATGGCTCGGGTCATGTCATGGGAGCTGGGTGGATTTCATCATTGTTTTCATGATTCACCTGAATTTTGAGTAGAAATTGGGAGGGTTAGGAAAGTACCATGTAAAGGAAGTGAAGGCAGTGGACTTGCCTGAAGAAATAGATGTAATTAGAGGGGTATAAGCAAGCATCACAAGAGACAGGGATGAGAATGGGTTGGGAGTGAGACTACTCGGGCCCTGTCCTGAGTACCAAGCACAGAGACTCTTTGAGTCTCCTTTCCTCTGCAAACCAGGCCTCAGTGGGCTCTAGCATTTTATCTGGCTCCCAAGCCCCATGATTGAATTGCTTTAAAAAAATCTCTGGTGATTATAAAGGCAAACAGATTTCTTTGATCCAAGTAAGAGTCCAAAGGATGGCCTTTTAAAGAATGATTGAATTCTGGTGCGGGTGGTGAGGTGGTACATAGGAGTCCCTTATAGCTCAGAGGTAGAGAGATAACATGAGTAGTCATCCATGATGTTTAGTAATCCTGGAAAATATATCAGGAGAAATGATCCACTGATCCTAAGGCAGTGAGTGCCTGCAGCCATGCTGGCTATGCCTTCTGAGGTTCCTGCTTTTGATGAACACTTGTTGGGTGCTGTTGTGGACTCTGACCCATAGCGACCCTGCAGCATAGCAGATGGAAACCCTGCCTGGTCCCTTCCATCCTCACTCTTTCCCCCCCACAGAACGACTCACTGACGCGAAGTACTGGAATCAGCACTAGACATGATGATTAATAGAAACTCCTATTGGCGTATTGGGCTAACTACAAGGTCCACAGTGATTTTGAAACTACCAGCCACTCTGCTGGAGAAAGACGGGGTTTTCCATCCCCGTTAAGAGTTACAGTCTTAGAAACTCACAGGGGCAGTTCACTCCTGTCTTAGAGGGTCACTATGAGTCGCATCCACTTGATGGTAGTGAGTTTCAGGCTGCTATGAGTCAGAATGGATTCAATGACAGGGAGTTTGATGTTGAGTTAGGCGGGCTGTAATGTATATGCCTCAGTCATGTCCCAGAAGAAATCAGACTACAAAATGAAAGTACCCAACCAGAAATTTATTATGTAACAACCACACATTTGTCCTCCACGACTGCATTTTCTTGTGCACCGATCTAGGGGCTAGGGTGTAGTGGGGCAGGAGAACATGTAGGAAACAAAGCAACATGTAGGCTTCTATATATTTCAGTGACACTACAGCAAGGGACCATAAAACCAGGCACCAGGCTCCGGAATGAAGGCGACATTCTCTGATCTCAGTTTCCTCCTCGGCGCTGCCTGAAGTAGCGGTTGTAGGCGGCGTTGTATCCGTAAACCATGGCATAGCGTTCGCAAAGTGTGTAGTCATCGCAGGCCTCCCGGTTAATCTCATGGGCAGGCTTGGTTCGTTCTCGGACCCTAGCACGTGACAAAAGAGAGAGGTCAACATTGAGAAGCGTAAAGAGGGAAGAGAAATAAAAACAAGGAAAGGAAAAGCAAGCATGATTAGAGTGAGCTCCCCTCCCAAAACAAGACAAAAGACAACAACCCAACAACAAAAAAACATTTAAGTAAGGTAATTTGAGGAACAACGGGCAAAGGTAAAACAAGAGGGATTCCCACCCCCACATTCAAATGAAAAGAGAATCTTGTTTTTCTCTTCTCTTCCTTCTATAGTCTGGTCTTTCACAAAATAATCTTCCAAGAATTGCATGGTTTTCTCTATATGGTTTTCAAGTTCTTTGATGCTTGTATATGATTAGAAAGAATATATAGGATGAAAACCTGTTTCTTACTCCCTTGAGACCTCAGATGGAGCAAAATGTTGCCACCCACCTCTCCTGGGCCTTGGCTCTCCATCTCTGCTGTGGGGAGATGAAGCTGTTGGCGTTTCTCCTGTTTAGGAAGGGGCCTTCAAATGGAAAACACAGATAGGCAGTTTTAGGGAAGCGGTAGTTGGAGAGGCTTCCACCATATTCTCCGACACATGTCTACGTGAGGGGTCTTTATGTCTGCATCCCATAGAACCCAGAGGACCGTGAAAAGGAAGTGAGAGGAGGAGGCAGAGTTCATAAACTGCTGTGTCCAAAGAAATCGGTCATCCTTATGGATGTCCCCAAGGCTTATCACATGGGCCATAGCACATTGTCGTTTGTTTGCTTGGGGGCCATCGTACTGCCTCCCCCAGCTTTGGTATTTTTATTGTTTTGTTAATGTCCTTGAGGAAAACTTCTGCCTTTCTAGGCATACTTTTAGAGTGTCAGTAAATGAACAGTTTAAATAGTCTGAAAAATGGTGCATAAATTAGAGACTGGCATGTTGTTTTGGCCTTTGCTCAGTCTCCCTCTATCCAGAGAGTCAGCAGCGGTTGACTTAATGCTGACGACTGGGGTCTACTAGCAGACTTGGCCTCCAACGCCATCTATTACTCCTTGTTTCCCACTTGTGTGGTTGATGTGGTGTCAACTAGAAATTTCCAGAAGAGTTTGTGGTATGTGGAATGTAGTTTAAATATCATATTAAATGACTACTGAGTTTAAACAATTATTTACTTGGTATTTTTTTTGGTATGGTGATTGGACTTGAATATTTTCTTTAATTTTCCGAAAGAGACTGTGTCTACCTTATTATATATCAAATTTTGTCTTTTTAAGAATAGAGAGAGATTACTTGTGCATGGGATTTAAGTACAGAAGACAAATGTTTCACTTACTAATTTCATAGGACTCCATGCTTTCATGAGATTCTGGAATTAAAACAAAAAGATGCATTTTATTGTTGCATATCATGCACTGTGTTAGTCTACTATCAGAAAGAAAGGAGTGGAAGGGCAGGCTCATGAAGATGTGAGAATTGTATTGTGTTCAGACACTCCCCTGCCAGGAATGCCTCTGCACACAGGAGTGAATGGCTCAGTCTTTGTTAACCTTTTCCAAGGGTTTGAAGCCTTCAGACTAGAGGCAAAAGCTAACTTAAGTGAAGCACAGGAGTCCCCATAGAACTTTTAAAAAATATCCCTGGGGCCTGTTGGAGAGGTGTTTTGAAGTGAGAGAAGGGTCCAGAAAATAGCTAGTTTCTCCAGGCAGGCTGTGCAGTTGCTCAGCTGGATTTTACCAAGACAGGATTCCAAGTGGTCCCACAGCCTCTTAAAAACCTGTGCTAAACTGGCAGCCACAGAAACCACGGGCTCCAGTGGAACAACTCACATCGGGCACCAGCCCAGCACAGAGAGTGAACTGAGATGCTTTCAAAGCAAACCAACCCTCCAGAGGACTGATGGAAGAACAAGAGACTTGCATTTATAAGCAGGCGAATTTGCTTGAAAAGTTAAAAAGGGAGGTGAAGAAACCACATGTTCCACTATAGCAAATCTGTGAATTATTTCAAAACTCGGGTGTGTAAGACACATGTTTGCTAATATCGTTTAGGAGTGAAAAGTGACTGCAACTATCCAGATCATTGAAGCCTAAGGCTGATTTATTGACCTAATTGTGCTTCCGACTGTCTTTCATAAAGTCCTAGCAGACACAGACATTTAACAATTGAAAAGAGGAAAGGTTTACATGCTGGTAGCAGAAGTCAAACAATCTATTTTTTCCTGAAGTTATTTAATAAAGAAACTCGCCTTCATATTAGCTCATTCAACACAATCCATGGGATTGTCCTGTCTCTAGAGAGGCTATGCTTAATTCTTCACATAAAAGCTTATTTATTTTCATAATGGTAAGTGATTCAACCAATATTTTTAACCAAGTGATTCCAAAGTCAAAATAAACATCTTAAATATGGGCAGACAGGGGGTATGAATTTGGACATTTCTCAAAATATCTTGAAATATCTCTTCTGGCTGAGTGACTTACCGGAAAAATAACTTGTCGTTTTAGTTGTCTACAAACGTCTGGATAGTTAGAATGTAACAAAATACTCGATGTCCTTGGGAACCGGGAACAGCTAAATTAATAATATGCTACGATTATAGCAGAGAAAGGGAAAAAAGATGGGAAAGGGAGAGGAAAAATCAAAGTGAACTAAAGTTAGAGATAGAAAAGAAAACCCGAGGTAAGGGAGGGAGGAGGGCTCTCACCATAACACAAAATTGCCGCGGCGAAGGCAGCCAGAATGGAGAGAAGAAGCAGGCTCCTCATGGTCATTCCGACTTTGCTGTCCTGCGGCTCCTCTTGTTGCCTTGGGCATCAGTAGGAAGGGAGGCTCCTACAGGCTGTTCGTGAAAGGCTGTGGAGTTTTTATAAGAAGCTGAGCAGCTGGGAGGGGAGGAACCAGTGGGAGGGGGCCGGAGAAGGTGGGGACTGGTTGGCATTAAACGAGCACTGGGACTTTTCCCAAACAGTCATTCCTTCCAGATATTATCTACTCTGGGTGGGCAGTTGTCCCTCAGTCCTGGATGTGATCTGGGCTGCAGCAGGATGCTGTCCTGGTACTGCAGCTGCGGCCACCCTAGGTTGGAGACCAGACCTGGGCAGAAGTTCACAGGGAAGGGAGTTGCCACAAACACGTGTTTGCTTTTCTAATTCCTTCACTGATCTACCCTCCTGGTCTTGACTGCAGGCCTTTCAGGTTTGGTCCACAGACAGAGCCGTACTGTTTGACTTGCTCCCCCCATGGATGGATTTGAGGCTGTGGCAGAGAGCGGACACTTCGCATTTCACTTTATATTCTGGTTACAACTGAGACTCACCTTCCCAGTAGGACTAACTATCCATCCAGGGCCAATCCAACATTCACCTCCTTACGGCAGTTTTCTAAGTGCTCCTGAGGGTGGAGGCGTGCAGTGCCTCCAAGAGTTCTGCTTCCTTGACTGGCTCCACTGTAACGTGAACGTCCCATTTTGTGGAATGGCCTGTTCCCCCTGCTCCTGTAGGCTGGCTGTCACTGATCTAAAGTGCAGCAAAGATAAGAGAGCACTTAGCTTTCATTTTCCAAATGCATTGTCTTGTGAATTAACTAAGCCAACAGGTTTTTAGTGAGCGGTAGATGAGATGCAAGGCAGTGTGCTAGATACCATGGGGACTCAGAGCCAAATGAGACAAGACCCTATGGAGGGAAGTAATAGGTACTTACTATTGACTTTGTTCATCAGTATCTTCAAACACAGATTTTCGCATTTCACAAATACGCATTTCAGGACCAGAAATACTGTATTTTTATAGGAGAAGCATTTCCATTTGGTAATTTTGATGACCTTGGAGAGAGAGGCCCACTACCCCATTCCAACTGTCCTTCCCCATCCATCTCTTAGCAGTTGTTGTGTCCCTATTGGCTGGCTGTCCAGGAGTCTCCTATATACATACAATGGCTTTTGAGGAGAGCTGTGCTTCAGAACCTTTGACCCCCCCCTGGCTACCAGCTACCATCAAGTTGACCTACAATTCAAGGCAACCTTGTGCTATAGAGCAGAGCCACAGGGTTTTTGTTTTGTTTTTTTGGCTGTAAATCTTGATGGAAGCAGATCACCAAAATTTTCTTTCCTGATGTTGCTGGATGGTGTCAAGTGCAAGCATTTTGTAGTATCCAGAGATTAAAAAAAATAATTTTATTGGAGGCTTATACAGCTCTTATCACAATCCGTAAATACATCCACTGTGTCAAGCACATTTGTACATTTGTTACCATCATAATTCTCAAAACATTTGCTTTCTACTCAGAGATCTGGACCCTTGCATTAGAACAGAAAAACACTGGGATACTGGTGGGTGGATGTGTTGTTCAGTTCTGATTATTTCAAGGGTCAACAAAGAACAAATAGCTGGGGCCACATGCCTAATTCTTCTTGGCTGATTGCAGTCAAGTTTTCCTCACATGTTCCCCTTGCAGAGCTTTTATGTTTAGTAAAGAGATTCCTTGTTTAAGGAATGACTTCAGCTGTACAGGAAGACCTGGGTTATGAAAGTCCAACCTCTATAGAGCCTTTTATATTAAAAATTTGAAGTATATACAATGTGTATTATGGATGTATACTATTGTGTCTATCTGAAAAGGTTTCCTTTTTCTTTATTAAAAAAATTATTTGTGGATTGGGTGAAGGTTTATAGACTAGATAATAAGTTACATACAATAATTTATACACATTTCATTTTGTCCATTGCAATTCCCTCACTGTGTCCCATTTCTTCATTGTATTCCACCTAGAAAATTTGTTTTTTGGTTCACAAAAGGTATGGTGTATACTAAGATAAATCTTTGACTACATTAGATACTGTGGTGAAGTGATTTATTTGATATGGCTCTTCTAGCCATAGTCCTTATAACTCACACCAAATGACTGGGTGGTTCCACGCAAATTGGATATATGCCCTTTTATTTTTCCCTGGTGGTCTGGATAAGGGGCCATGGAAGAAGAGCTATTAGGATGATATGATTCAGTTGTAAGTGATTGGTATCAGGATTAATTGAGATTATAAAAACTTGGAATTCCACAGTAGGAATTTGTAAATTTTGCCATCTTGCTGGGTAAACCAAATGAGCCATCTCAAAAGTAAGAATGGAGGGATCTCACTATCATCAGGAAAGAAGAGCCAGAAATGTAGCGTGTCCTTTGGACCCTGAAATCTCTGAACACTGAACCTCCTTGATCCAGGAGACAAGGAACTGTGACGCCAGGAGTGGCAGAGAAATGGCAGCAGCAGAAGCAAGAAGTTTAGGATCAGAAAGAGCAGTGGGCTTCCTGGCCCACAAAGAGCATAAACGGAGTTGCCTCTAGGCTCACTTGCAGAGTAGGGTGCTTCCAAGCACTTAATTGGACGAACTGGGCCTGTGGTCCCATGGAACTAGAGCTGAGTGCCTTCAGTGGAGCTTACAGCAGAGTGGCATGCCCTGTGGGCATTTATCAGCAGAGCTAGAGGAGCTTTGTAACATTGCCCAAGTAGGGCAGAGGCCAAGGGACCACGTGACTGAGAGGTCATGCCAACAGGACTTACAGAATGACTGCAATCTGAGAATTTCGGATCCTGAATTATACTTTAATTTTCCTAGCAAATACTATAATTCTATTTTTTATGGATTCTCTGTGGTTATTGCAAGGAATTAAAGAACCCAGCAGAGAAGTCAAGTACTGAGGGAATGACAAAATCAGCTTTGGGCTGATGTTGAGTTTGATTTTCTTTCTCCTTTGTGAAGTGAGGTCAAATGTGTTCCCTATTCTACTTTGACAGATATGAAACATGCATAGCTATTTCAACGTATGTCCAAATTTGAATTAAAGATAGATTTAGGAATGGATTTTGTTTGTAACCTAGGAACTTCATATATTCTGAAAGATGAATATGTTCTAAGAGACCAATGAAATCCAGGTTTTCTCTCTACCTTTTCGTATGCTAAAAGAGAGAGTTTTTGTGATAAAAATCTCAAAGGAGGCCTCATAAAAAAGACGATGTAAGTTCATCCACGATAAATTCAACCGTCACAATTTCCACCCACAAGATTTAAATCACAACTTTAAATCACAACTTGCACGTAGTCTGCTCTTCCGTGCCCTTTTTTCCAGGATGGGTCATCCAGATCATCACATTGGCAATACATTTAAAGTACAGAAATCAATATGCTAGACATTTCATGGGTTTGGGAGAACAAGGCAGCCATTGTTATGTGCCATTTAATTGTCTCGTCTCAGAGTGATACAAACAAAACAAAACACTACTTAGTCTTGTGCCATCTTGACAATTATTGTTACACTTGAGCCCATCCTTGCAGCCACCGTGTCAGCCCATCTCGATGAGACTCTTTCTCTTTCTTGAAGACCATCTACCAAGCAGGATGTCCTTCTCCAGGGACTGGTCTCTCTGGATAATATGCCCAAAGTATGTGAGATTAAACCTTACCATTCTCACTCAGTCCCGGTGAGCACAATAACACATTTATAACTAATACCCAATATGCTTTATCCCAGGATGTCCCTCTTCTCATCTCTAGAATCAAAGAAATCCTATCTTTTCTAGTTCCAATCAATTATGTTCTACTGTATATGAAGCCAATCTCTCCCAGCAGGATGCCAGAGGGCTCCGCTACACCTATGTTTAAATGGCAACTGTGCCCTTTCAGCCATCTGCTGTCACACGCTTCTCAGTCTAAGGTGAGGTCGACCTTGTTTCAGAAGTCGTTTTCTCCATGCTTCCACTTGATCCCCAAAGCTCTCCAGCATTTCTTTTTGTCATCTTGCATGTGTAACACTTTTTGTATGGAGTGGCCTCTCAACAGTCCCTCCTCTCCCCTTTCTACTTCTCTCTACCCCGCTAGTCCTGGGGTCTTCTATGCCAACTCCCAATTTATAAAGGATTGTACAAAAAACATTAATGCTAAATTTTCTTCTTTTTCTCCCATATCACATCTCCTATCAAAGATGATTTGGCATGTGCCAACTTCAGTTTTGTGCTTTTATGAAAAAGACTTAGAGCAGTGATTCTCAACCTTCCTAATGCCATGACCCTTTAATACAGTTCCTCATGTTGTGGTGACCCCAATCATAAAATTATTTTTGTTGCTACTTCATAACTGTAAGCTTGCTACTGTTATGAATCATAATATAAATATCTGATATGCAGGATGTATTAGGTGACCACCCCTGTGATAGGGTCATTTGAACCCCAAGGGGTTGCAACCCACAAGTTGAGAACCGCTGACTTAGATGAACCTTTGAATTAGGAATGGGGGCATTGCATTGAAAAGGATCAGGGTTGACTCATCTAAGAGAGAAGAGGAGAGAAGAAAACAAAGGAGGTAGAAAAAGTAGAGGGGAAAATGAGGAGAGCCTGGCATATTTGGTTCGCCCTCTCCTAAATGAAAGGAAATGATGTTAAAGTATGTGTGGTGGGGCCTATTTCAAGACACTACTTACAAGTGATAGCAAATATATGATAAAGATAATGTTATGATTGCTAACTATTTTCAGATTATGGAAGAATCTCCTCAAGTGAACTATTTTGGCAATATGTAACAGTGGACGTCTGGGTTGACTGGAGAAACAAATCCAGAGACGTCTACTCATGTATGTATAAGAAAAAACTGCATCAAAGAGTAATTGTATATTAAGAAAACATTCCAGACCAGTCCAGATCAAGTCCATAAGTCCAATAGCCCATAAGTCTAATACTAGTCCATAAATCTCTCTTTAGATTTATGCAACACATACAATGATACAAAATGCAGGAATATTATAGGTCAGTGGGTACAAAGTCTTGTGGATCC